TATGGAGCTTGAGAATCCAGAAAATTAAACTCTCATAGAGTTTATATGTGCAAGATTGTTAAAAGGGAGATTACATAGTTTTGCAAGTGTAGTTGATATCTCAATCATGTTTGATGTTTGATCTTTATGATGTTTGCTTTCTATCTAAAAAAATTATCCGCATGTTTTCTTAACATTCAAACATGAATTTACAGTTATCAACTCCTGCAGTCAATGCTAATTCATTTTTGCTTGCAATCAGGTTGATAACCAAATGGGTGCGAAATTATTAGAGAGTATAATTTTTATAATTGATTCTGTTCTGCCCTTGATTCGTAAGCTGCCTCAGAATGTTGCTGAAGAACTTGAACAAGATTTGAAGCACATGATAGTTCGTCATTCTTTCTTCACAGTCGTCCATGCTTGCATCAAGTAGTAACTTTATCTCTCTCTTGGTTATAATTGCATTTTTTTTTCATTTGCTAATTCTAAGATTGTTTTGTTTCTTATCTTCTGAATGGTTTCAGTGGCTTAGTGAGATCACTAAAATCATTGTTAATTTGAGTTGGGTAGTTGGATTGACAGAAAACATGCTTAATGTGGGGCAGAAGCTTCTGAGCTGAGGTCTTAGGTTTATGACTGCAAAGCATGTAGGATTGCATATTATTTTCAATTGTGTAATTCAGTTTTTGATGTTAGTGCAGCTTACTGCCACCAGTGCATGCATCTTCGTGCTGGTTCCTGATATATGCATTTATATTTGTTTGCCTGGAACTCTATGTTAGCACATATCAATGATATGTAAAGGTTTATATTAATTGTGTGACCATGCAAGATGTGTTTTCATCTCAAGGGTTTAGTTAATCACTACACATGCTACTTTTGTGTGATTGCGACAGCTGGCTTATTGTGAAAATATAACCTAATGTGGTTGTAATCAAACTAATGTCAAGAGATTTTTCTAGATTACCACCTTTTCACATTATGGTTATAGTGGAAAATATTTGTTTTGAGTTTTAAAGGTCTCGAGTATCCTGGTGTTAATGTTAGTTTTTATACATTTTTGAGTATTGACCTTCATTTTCCATGCTAGGCAACTGGTAGTACTGGTTTTTGTACTCGTTGACATAAGTTTTGGAAACTTTTGCATGGTCTGTTGGTCTCTTCTGGAGTTGTGGTTTCAGTTCTCTTTGCAAGTCTGACTTTTTTAAGATTACAGGTGTCTGTGCTCTGTAAGTGAAGTGGCTAGAAAAGATGCTAGCGTGGTTGAGTATCTTCTTCAGCTATTCTTCAAACATCTAGATTCTCAGGGAGCTGATAACATGCAGGTCAGTGGGTAGATTCAATTCCGGATTTCCCATCCTTTTTGTTTGCTTGGAAAGTTTTGTTGCTGGAATAAGAATTTTAAATATCTAAGGGTGTCTGCTGAACTTAGCAAATTTATTTGGGTGAATTGTTTTGATTTGGTACTGTGATACTTTCTTCTTGGTACATTAAGGGCTGCCATATGAATAAAGCAGTACGTGAGCCCTCACCCTCCATAATGGAAGGGAAGTAAACCATAGGGCAAATGCACTTTAGTTATAGTATCTAATACTTAGACTGACAAATCGACAGTATAATTTATTAATAACATCCTTAATGTTCCATATCTTTTTCTACCGTAGGTTTTGCCGCCATCAAATATCAACAAATTCTTATATTCTTTTCTTATACTTAAATGCCAGTCATTGTTTTGGATTAAAATCCATTTTTGGCAGCATTAATGTGCATCCTGACTGTAATTTTTTCTACTGATACGAGGTGGAGTTAATTAAGTAGTTTCTCTAGAACTTGGGTCGTAGAGTGTCCCATCTTGTTCCAGGATTTGTTCAGACAAAACTGAAATAAGTTCTCATGTTATGAAATAAATAGAAATTAAGTCTGTCGGGCTATGGTATACGCAACGTTGATTTAGATGAATAATTGTGAGAAATGGCTACTGGGTTATATAACTACCAGATTTGCATGCTTGTTTACATTGAATATACTTGTAAATCTTGATACTCTTGCTTAATTGCTTAAAGGAGAAGCATGTTGCTTTATAACCATATTAATGCAGTAATTATCCCTTGAATTTCAGCAAGTGGGCAGGTGTCTCTTCTGTCTTGGACTACTTATCCGTTATGGCAACTCTTTGCTAAGTACCTCTGGTAACAAGAATTTCAATATTGTGAGCTGTCTAAATTTGTTCAAAAAGTATCTCCTTATGGAGGACTTCAGCATAAAAGTTAGATCTTTGCAGGTGTGTTGTCTTTTATTTACAGTTCTTCCAAGTCTTAAATTATACAGCATACTGAATCACTTTTAATTTATGTAGGCTTTAGGCTTTATTCTAATTGCTAGGCCTGAATATATGTTGGAAAAGGACATTGAGAAGATATTAGAGGCTACACTTTCTCCTGGTTCTGAAGTTCGCCTTAAGGTAAATATATCCTGTCAGGATGCATATTTTGTCTTTATGTTTGGTAAAACAACAGAAATACCCCCATGTTTTTGCCTTAATCTCAATTTTCACCCCATATTTTAAATTTGGCCCATTTAAACCCCATAAGTGTGCTGTGTCTAAGATAACCTATTCTATTAGTGTTTAGACCTAGATTAACCAGATTTCATCAGTTCAAGTTGTTACTAAAGTACATTGGAAAAAATACTCTTGAAAGGACCATTAAACCAGCATATCTTCATTACTGTTTCCCCAGCCATTTTTGCCACTTGCAAATCCTTCACCTTTGCATCTATGATGATGAGGAAGCTAAATGATCTTTGTGTCTCTGATGGAAGAAAGCAAATTACCTTGAGTATGAGAAATAGGGAACTGAAGCATGCTCAGAGAAGGAACCAATATTTTACCAAATTGACCTTTCTCTTACATTATGTTTGGATTGAGGGAAGCAGAGGGAAAGTAAAGGGCAGGATGGGATGCCCACCCTTCTTTTTCTTGTTTGGATAAAAGATAGTTAGTAGTAAAGGTACCTTTCCCTTAAAACTCTAATTATTTCATCCTTCCAAATTAGAGGAAAAATGAGTGAAACGAAAGGATTGAAGAATTTTAAAGAGAAAATTATCCTTTTTATCTAATTATTATTCTATCAAAAAAGAGGATCATTGACTATTTTCTTATAGCACATTCTTTCCTTTATAAACCTAAACCAAACAAAATATTACAACAATAATTTCCATTACTTCTTTTATTTTTAGTTATCTAAACGAGGAAACACTTTTTCTTTTCTTTCCTTTAGAAAACCACCCTTTTTCTTTCCTTCTTTTTCATTTCGTTTCCGCTCTATTTCTTGAGTAGTTGTTACTTAATCATGTATTTACCATTCTAATAACTGTTAACATTTACACCTGAACAGATGGAATTATTTTATGCATAACCAAAATATAGGGTATGAATTAACCAAAATTTGAAGTATATGGTGAAAATTTGAAACACTGGTTGAACTATAGGGGCTTTTTTGTTAATTCTCTTTTGTTTTATATGATACTAAACCATTGTGTTGACCAGATGCAAGCACTGCAAAATATGTATGAATATCTTCTTGATGCGGAAATCCAAATGGGAACTGTGAAAGTAAATAATGCAGTTAGTTATGCTGTAGAAAGTGGGGAGAGTGTGCCTGTTGCTGCTGGTGCAGGTGATACCAACATTTGTGGAGGTATAGTGCAGTTATACTGGGATAATATATTGGGGAGATGCTTGGACGTTAATGATCAAATTCGCCAAATTGCCTTAAAGGTGAGAATGACAGTCAGTATTATACTGAGACAGAATCGTAAGTACCTGCTACTTAAAATTCAAAGTTCGATGGTGGATGATAGGAAAAAGAAACAGGGAAATGCTAAGATGATCATTTTGTTAAAAGCAAATAAATCTGTTTGATCAATCTTGACTGAAAGCAATGCATTATCTTAACATGTAAATTCATCGTTTTGCATCATCCTAAACCTACAGTTATATTGGAAAGTGAACTGAGGAAAATAAGCTTTATAAAGATTTCTGCTATGTAGGAACAAGTGAACTTTGTGTATGGAATATGTTTGGAAATCCATGCTTATTTCACTATGAGGGTGAAATCTCTTACAAAATTTTAAAAATTAAGCTTATAGACAATTCCTTGTGAAATTTCGGTAATATATCTTGAAAATTCCACCAATTATGAGCAAATTCAAATCTATTATCTTAAGTCCATTGGGATTGTCTAAGAGTTCAAATTTCACTTTTTTGTAAGAAAGTTCAAATTCTCATAGTTAAACTAGTACAACAATTTAATTCATGTAATTTATTAGTTCCAAACTAGCCTTTGAATCAAAAGAAGATGGCTATTTTTCATTCTGAAGATTCTGACTTGGTTTCGTTGCAGTACTAGAAATGTTTGTCTTTTATGAATCCTTGTCAACTAATTTCTTTGTGTTGTCACTTTTTGCTGATTCCGTGAGTTAATAAATGTCTGTAATTGCTACTAGTGCAGATAGTGGAAGTAGTCCTGCGACAAGGACTTGTTCATCCTATCACCTGTGTTCCTTACCTTATAGCCCTCGAGGCAGATCCTCAGGAGATGAATCAAAAGTTGTCTCATCATTTGCTGATGAACATGAATGAGAAGTATTCT